AATAAAAAAAAAAAAGTTATCAAAATTATAGTTTTTTTTTTTTGAATAATTATATTGGTTAATAGTAAAAAATGCACTGTGTGTAGGCGTGAGTTTGATTTTGACTATGAAAACTAAGTTACTCGTTGAAATCACTAATTTGTACGTCATTATTTTGTTTAACTAATTCGTTTATCTATTTATAGATAAGATCTACAGAAAATCTACTTAGCTCAGTACTGCGCAAGGCGCTTTGCTGGCAGAGCTAAGTAAATCGTTGTTGTGATTATTATTATTATAATTATTATACCAACGCAATACTGAAAAACTACACTGCACTATTCGGGCTTGGTAATTAAAAGCTTCATGTTAACGAACTAATTATTTTTGTTCATTTGGTTCGACAAAAATAAACTTTAACCGATATTTCATATTTTCTTTTAATCAAAAATGTGTCGTTGCGAATTATTAGTGTAGTTTAACATGTGGAGTTCTGTTGTCTGTCAAATAATTGAGCTTTACCTGATTAGTATCTCGGTCCATAGCGTTGGTTAGGATCCAATCCCTGACTTGCTCGTGTTGTTCGGCGGTCGTATACAAAGACTGGGGTAGCGGTACGTTTGTAGGGAAATCCGTCCCACGTAAGTCTATGTCGTCCACCATTTCGTTTTGTCCTTCCGTTATGGCGTCCGTTATATCCAAATAATGGTTTAAGAACACAAATGCTTCCGCATACCGTTTTCCGTCCTAAATATTACAGCAACAATCGACAACAATAAGAGAGTTAAATAATAGACAATATGTGATGTACAACAATAGATCTTTCGTTGAAAAATCACCGAGCAATTTAGTTGGAAAATAAATCACACCTTTCCTTAATCCGATAGTTCCAGGTCGTGACATTACAACGTTTATAGATATATATACACTATAGTATCTCTAAACTTTGGCGACATCATTCTATTCACTTATTATTTGAACAATTCTCGACTTGTCCACGAACCGTCTCTTACGGCTCAAAATACCGTGTGGCTATTCAAATTATATGGTGTTGATAATTTTATGATTTTTCAAATACCTACGAGAGTGTGCGCCATTTGTTTTGTGTTAAAATCTTATATTTTAGTGTAATATGTGTTAACGCGATCATATTATTTTAGATAAGCGATATTTGCATGTGCGTTACTCAACGCGTATAAAGTTATTTTACTATTTATATACATGTTTGCTGTACACAAACGTTATGCCTTAAGCTTCTCAATAAGCTTAATAAACTATTAAATAAGTTTAATGGTTACGAAATCGCGTTGAACATTTTTTTTTGGAAACTTATCATTTTCCCCTCGAAATTTAATATGATTTTTTTAATTTTAAATGAATATTCATCGACAGCGATAATAAGTTAGAAATAAACTTCGACGTTGTTAGACAATTATGCGTTTTTCAACAAATTTTATTTATGTTTTGAAATAAAATTATTTTTTAACATAATTTCTCCAACACATATGTATATGACACGTTTTTTTTATTAAAATCAATTGGCCCCTGAAATGGTCATGGAAAACCAACGACAATTCAATTGTAAAAGGTGATTGTTATAATTGAGCGTTTTAAAAATCGGTGCTATTGTTTATGTCATAAGAAAAGAGACTTGAAACATTGAATTGAATATGACAGCTGACTATGGAAAAAATGACTCTCAAAAATTACTTTTTCTGTAATTATAAACACCTATTATAGATATTATTCATCTGTAGTTGAAGGGGTTGATACGTTAAACTGACATGTTTAAAAATTTCACGAGGCATTATTTTGCAAAGAAAAATAACAATTTCCAAGTTTACAATAAGAAATTCTAAGTAGTGTATAACATCTTATTGCAATAATTTGTCTAATGAGTTATAATTTTTGTTAAATTTAAATAATTTTATCAAAACATATAAATTCAATAGTATGTTGAAATTTTACAATACACATGTTTTATAATAAACTCTGCTGCTAGTACGATCATGATATTTTTATGACTCTTATCTAAAAAACCGACTGCAATAAAGTCAAATAATATAAAACCACTAAATTTAAGACGTGTGCGTACTTGTGCAGCCATTCCAGCTTCGTAGTATCCTTTATCAGCGGGTATCACGTCGGTATATCTCAATAGAGCTACCAGTAATTTCACGACCAATGTGCTCAGCGATGAAACGGCACTAAAAGCACACCGCATCCCATACAGATGAGAAATAAACATATATTTTTCAAATTCTTTGCCGCAATCCGGATCTGTTTGCTTTGTACTCTCCATCTAAAAAGAAAAATGTTTAACTCTATTATTAAGATTTGCTTTTTCCTCATTTATATGTTTCTAGTTTATTTTATGGATTTTAAGAATAATAACATTTGAAACTCTTGGCTCTTGTCCAAGTACCAACACTTTACATAATAGTTTATGTTGTGGTTTTAAAATCTATTCATAACACAAAGGAAATCTAATTTTTTAGCGACGAAGGTAAAGGAAATAATTTTCATTACATAGACAACAATAAAAGTATGAATTCGTGTACATTTCCCATGGTAAATAAAGCATAATTAAGTACCATAACTTAAGTTAGTTATAACATATAAAATACACGACTCTGTAACGAGTAATTAAAGCGGTGTTTATTGTCACACGATATTTATATAAATCAACGGTTTATTTATAGGGTATTTATTTCAATTAAGGTATTTCATTTTGCATTTTTATTACAATATAATATTTTAGATGTTATAATTCAGACCCAACAAATCTAACGAGTTAGACGTCCTTCAGTAACTCAAAGTTTTATTTAATCGCTTTAAAAACCTAAAATTTGATCTTATAAAGTTTAAAACCAAAATTAACTAATAAAAGTATTTACGGTTAATTTCGGATTTTTAACATTTTTTCAAGTTAAATTTTAGCTCAATTAAGATTGAAAAGGCGGTCGCATAATACTTTTAGTTTCTGTAATCATTTTTTAAACGTTTACAAAAAAAAAAAATTTGTTATAGATGAACTAATTTACTAGATATAAGAAAAATTGTCGAATTCAAAATACTATCCAAGATTATATTTAACTAACCTTTTATTATATTTTAAAATTTATTTTTATTTAAATTAAGATGAATCCTCTATCGCAATAAAAATTAATTTAAGATACACATTTTACCACAAAATACTTGAATTATTTATGAACTTTGGGTTTAAAAAAATCCCTAGAGAATGCTTGCGGTTTGTTTAGAAAGGCGTGTTTTTTTTACATGTTTCTGTGAAATACTAACGAATAACATTATAAAATTTTGTTCATCACTTTCATTGTATTGTGAAATATTAATGTGCAGCAATTCAGTAGTCTGCATTTGATATTCAATTTTTTTATTTAGAAATGAAAGTAGTACCATCTAGCCGAGAGTGCAAATTCAAAAAAATATTTTTTTGTAATAGTACGAATAAATTTTTTAAATAGAAAAATATACAATCATTTAATTTTCACATTATTAATTGAATGAAAAATGAATAATTTACTTCATAAGCAAGTCTGTATTTAAGATTTTGGTTTGGGGTCACTACACGAATTTCGGCGCTCCCATTTTTTTTCAGAGTCGTCCTTTAAATATTATATTGAACAAAAGAAAAAAAAAATTCAACTTTTTTTTTCTATCAACATAACCTCCAAAAAATTAGACGATGTTGAGAATACAATATGAATTTGGCTTCACAATAATTAAATTTACCGTTGAAACATTTTAAGATTTGTAATATATGTGCGCAACCTATGTAGGTAAAGATATCTCATTAAAATCATAAAATGAACTGGAACTAAGTATTTTGAATCAACTGATTTTAAATACATTTCCTGTGTCCGTCGTTAAAACATTCATTTTTTAGTGCCAGATAATAAATTTATTCGATTATGTCTTTTGCCCTCTTTTGTAGTGTTAATTAAACAAAAGTATTTCAAAACTTCTGGTATAAATCTCTTATATTCATTTTAAATTGGTAGGCAACATAAAATTGTCTGAGAAAGTTTTAAAAATTACAATTAAAAATAAATAAAAACCCAGCACAGTGGAGTCGCGGCATAGTGGGGACGTTGCATAGTTGGGTCCAGTATAGATTTAATCTGACAGTG